CCCCCCCCCGCAATCACCACCACCATCACCATCATTACCAGTCTCATTACCTACAAAACATAAAGCACAATCATCGAACCCTGCCGCCTGAAAACCGCTACAAATCGCCTCGAAATTATCTCGCGTCTTGCAACAAAAGTCCTATCGAGGATTCACGATCCTGCGAGAGGCAGAGAAATAGAGCCCATGTCAGAATTGGAGAGAAGGAGGGCGGGAGAAAGTATAGAAAAAAAAAAAACGAGAATATTTGAAGAAAAGAAGAATGTTGTAGAGTCGCTCTGATTGCCACGAGTTGTTAGCCCAGTCGAGGCAGGCGTCGCTTTGCTGCCTTACTCTTACTTCGTTTCCGTCTGTCTCCGCCGTATAGTACGATGCGGTCATACCTACATACGTACAATTCATATTCTGAACTGCATCTTAGGCATTCTACGTATCTACGGACACCGCGCCGCCGCTTATTCCTTCGTTCTTTTGCTCTCTCGCTCTCGCCCTCTCGCCCTCTTCTCCCCCCTCTCAGTCCCCTGGAGCCATCCGGATCATCCCCTGTTTCCATTGGACCCATGAGCTCCATTATTACCGTTATTGGTATCGGATATTCATTTTATAAAGGTAGCAGCACGTGTGCGCGGTGTCTCCCTTCCTTCACGCCCATATCAATCTATGGAAAGCGAGGATTCGACGAAAAAGAGAGGAGAGAGCAAGATGAGAAGAGGGGAGTATCCGCACGCACGATGCATTATTGTGCTCTCGGCAAAATGTGTAAATATTCAGATACGACACGTGCAAGCACACACACACACACACACGAACACACGAACACGAACACACAGTTACAGTGGTTGCTAATTAATACGAAGAGCCTAGGCGACGAGAATCAGAGTCGCGCACTCTGTGCCCAATGAAAACGATTCACGCACGTACATTGATTTTTCCGAATGTTTCTTGCAAATGGCAAACCTGATTGGCATTACTGGATGGTAAATCTATATCGATATTTTCCATACCTTTTTTCAAACGCTACTTTTCATAGCAACACAATGGCTGACCATACGAACAATCTCAATCTGAAAGAGATGGACTTCGCACCAAGAGGCGGAAAGAGAGCGAGTGCAAAGCAGAGAGAAAGAAGGAGAATCGAAGGAGAGGCCTAGTCGTAGTCCTAGACCGTAGTCGTGCGAACACTCGACTGGCATTCGGAGTTGGCTTTATTATTTCGATGGCTTTTGGGCGCTTTCTATCATAACCATAACTCACCCATCACACTCCTTGCGATTTACACATCATATCCATCATCATCATCATCATCGTTCTCGTCATCGTCGTCATCATTATCATCATCATTTTCATCTTGGTCACATAAAATATCCACACCTGAATAATCACAACCTGCATTTTCGTTTGCCTTTCCCTTTATTTTCTGGGCTAATTCTTTGTGGTTTTGGTTTTGTGGTGTCTTTGGTATCCGATCTACTACCGACTACGCAATCAACTTGAACGCAACCTCCTACGCAACTTCTGCGCAACTCTACAACTACTATCCATCGCGACCAACTCAACTTCATCATCATCATCATCATCATCATCATCATCAACGACAACAACAACAACAACAACAACAACAACAACAACAAAAACAACAACAACTACTACTACCACCACATCAACATCAATAACAATCACAACGAAATCGCAACAATTACCACCATCTATATACTATTATTACCATCAACTACTACCTACTCCTTTTCTGTATCCTTACTGCCTTCTCCTGAATTCCTGCAATTGATTCCGTACAACATCAACAACAACAACAACAACAACAACAACAACATGAACAACAGCGTGAGGCCACCAGCACACAATCCGTACTACGTGACGAGTCATACAGCGGCAACGCAGGCTGTACAGGCCGCAGCGGCGGGTGCGGGTGCGGGTGCGATATCCGGTCCCTCGGTACCAGCAGGAGCTGCCTCGACGGCGACTACTCGGTTTGTCGAAGTTCTGGCCCATCCGGTCGGTCACCAGGCGGCCCAGTCGACGATAGCCGTTCCAGTAATGCCACCAGGAGCCGGCCGTACCTTACACTATCACACACACGCGGCCACTCACGCGTTGCCACATCAACCACCCCTGACCTACCCCAATTGGGTGCCCTTTACTCACTTTGGTTAGGCGAGCCACGTCGACGCTCTGCGAGTAGCGCACGCATATAATCGCAATTAACACTGCCAGAATTTAAGGATCTATAACTTTTAATTAGAAGTAATGATAGAAAAATATTTAGGAGTGGACAGATCGCGAAAGCCGCTCCTCGACTCGTTCGAGTATTGTAGAATTAGCAGCTGTCGATTAAATTTTTATCATAACATAATCTGTGTCAGCGCACGAATACGTGAAAAACACAACGAAAAGTAATTTTAGCGACTGTCGAAGAAGATTCGCCTATTATTAGTTATTAGTCTTTTATTGAGGGAGGGAATAACGCGCGACTGTCACGCTAATTACTATTGCGAACAAACCTCAATCAGTAGATTTCTCTTTAATGCAATCCTTCTTGTCGTTAGCTCGTGTCAGTCTTATTAGGCATATATTTATCTACATTTCTTAGTATTATACACACGCGTATCGCGAAAACCAGATGAAGAGACGCGATAACACACGATAGTCATAGCCAATAAGGGACAGATTAAAGTCTCCCATTCACACGGTAGAATAGTATTTTTATACTTGAAGCAATTGCGATTAGCAACTCGGTAGTTTGTTCGATGCCCTCAGCAGCAAGTGAAAGGGGGAAAGGAAGTAGATTCTTGTAATCGAGGACGCACCATAATGGACCAAAAAGATAAATAAATTAAATTGGACAATAGATTTATGACTAATGGAAATTCTTGGATTTTCGAACTTTGGCTTCTCCTTACCGTTATATCTTTCTTCCAGCTCGTTCTCTCGACTTGCTTCGTTGCCGCCGATTAACATAGGATTAGGTTCTCCTCGTTTCCCATTGAATACAGTCAGTTGCTCACACGGCTTGTTTTTCTTTAAAAAATATTAAAAGTTTCCACACCATTACGTCTCTAACAAAAAGGAAAGAACAAACAGAGCGCAGCATCACCGACGACCGACTCGAGATCCAAGGCTGCACGCGCAGTCCTCGCTTTTCTAAAAAGAAAGCGAGTGTCAGTGAAAGAGCGAACGAATGTCAGAGAAGGAGACGGACAATAGAAATAGAGAGTAGAGACATGCCCGTAGGAAAGTGTCCCACTGCCAATGATCTTTTGCCAATATTAATGTGGGATAAATCAATGGAAATCAATTCGTTACGTTTGGCGGAAAAGCATTGGCAATCGAAAAATTGTCCTACGGGTAGTCAGTGGAAGAACGCGAAGGAGGGAACGCAAAAATTCTTGCACTCTTGCTAACTATGCATTAGCAGACACACACGACACAACAGAACATAACAGGACATAAGAAAACAGAACAAAAAAGAACAACTAGGAAGAGCACAAATTGCAAAGAAATGACGCGCAGATGCGGCCTCTCCATTGCACTAACAAATGCTAACGATTGTCAGAATCAGAGAAAGGGGTGCACCGCCCCCACCCCCACCCGCCACGTCAGCGTCCAACGTGCATTTGAGAAAAAGGTAAAAAAAGAGGCACGGCGCTATAGCCGAACTGTATAAGCATTACGTAAGAAACGATGCCGGGGCCGGGGTCGCTCTGCTTTTCGTATGAGAACTCATTGACAGCACGCGTGGCTGATTCTCATTGTCAGTCTTGCAGGAAGATCGCGGCCTCGCTCGTTTCGAGCGTAAATAAATAAATAACGGATTGTGATTCTACCCCAAGTAGAGGAGACACACAGTATCTTTGCTAATGCTTGTCAACCCCTTTAATAATTAGTTGGTATTACGCACTGCCTGCTTGATACGCACCCAACCCTCCCTATATATTTTTATATCCCCACTACCTATGCGTGTACATATGTAAACGATCCATCTGTGACTAACTACTACTCTATCACCACCACCACCACCACCACCACTACCACTATTACTACTACATTATTTTCATCGTCATCTCCTCCGTCATTACCAGCCGGTACTGTTGACTTGAGGTTAACAGAGTTAAACCGTAATCCCGATAGAATGCACGTGGCATTGAGCTTCTTTACTCGTGCCCGAACCATTTTCACTTTTAAAATGTTTCACTAGATTGAACTATCCTTGCTGGTAAATTTAAATAAAGAAGGGCTCCTATGCTTCGTGTATGCGTTATCTACGGTAGACGTAAAAAATTTACTACAGACCCAAATACTATCAGTCGCCCGTCACGATCATCCATTATCACGATCACCATTGTCACTGTATCATTATCGCAAATTGAAAAGTGACCACACAGGTCATCTAGTATGTACAGTCCCATCCGTAGATTGATGCATCCTTGACGAGTGACTCAGAAAACTCGCGATATATCCCGAAAAGCGAAAAGATGAAAAGCAAAAGACATTCGACATGCCGGCTACGCTGGCTTAGAGTAAAACCATTAAAACCATTAAAACCATTAAAACCATTAAAACCAGTAAAACCAGTCAAACATAGAGTCCATCCTGTAGGAGCAGTGTGCGTGTGTCACAAGTGCCTGTTGCAAATGAATGAGCCAACCACCATGAAATCCGACTCCGAACCCCCGAGAAAGTCCTTGTACAGTATCAAAGCGAAAGATCTGAAAGATGTGAAAATTGAAAATACCGAAGGAAAGAAGGAAAGTATAGAGTCCTCGGATGGGAGAGCGACGCGTATCGGCAGTAGAAAAATTGACATTGGAATTAACTTGATTTAATTCGCAGGGGTACGAATCCATTGGCGCCGGACGCAGTGGACCTCACGCAACTGACTTCGGTCAGCGAGTGGCTGGCCTCGATCAAGATGTCCAGATACACGGAGAGCTTCGAGAGGGCAGGCGTCACGACCCTTGAAGCAGCAGCGCGCGTCACGGTCCAGGAACTGACGGCCCTGGGCATCACTCTGGTCGGCCACCAGAAGAAAATCATGAACAGCGTGACGGCGCTGCGTGCGCAAATGTCCGCCACGTCTCAGGGCTTCCTCGTATGAGGATCCACCTCCAGGACTGGACAGAGCCATATAAAACTAGGAATATCGGAAGGCTAGGAAGTACCGAACCGTCGCAAGAAAACATTCCAGAGGGAAGTGAACGCGAGATGGGCGGGGGAGGGACCGATGGAGACGAAGAAACTCGAGAGGACAGATGCAGCATCCCTGAACGGCCTAACGACGAGGGGTCAATAGGTTGCGCGACGACTCACCTCGTCCCTTCACCGACAGGCACCACGACAACTGCAACGAACAATATTAGTAATATTGTGATATTCAAAATGACGTCTACGATCGTCCTGATACTGATGCTCCTGGTGGAAGAAGCCATACACTTGCTCAACGATACATCTCAATCTTTTACTAGCCACGGGATAGAGAGAGAGAGAGAGAGAGAGAGAGAGAGAGAGAGAGAGAGAGCACACGGAGTAGGTGAAGAGGCGAAGGGGAATGAGTGTGCGTGTATACCTGCGTGAGCGTATGTGCGTGTAAGGAGATAAGGGAGTGAGAGGGAGGGAGGTTAAGGTAAAATGATGAAAAAGAACAAGATATGTAAGGACCGCATTTATACATAACGGATGGATGGCGCGTATAGGTATATGTCGAGTGGTGAATTCCCGTCTCACGGGAGGCACGTGGGACATTTAGAGAACTAAAGAGGATCATGTGCCAATGCGAGAAATTATTGGATGCTTCGCTCGAGCTTTTGAACCTGCTGAGGCTCCGCTCTGAGGGAAGCAACGCAATATGCAAAATGAAATTTGGCAAAGAATTGGACTGTCTCGAAATATGCTGCTACAGGCTGGGGTTGCGCCAAAGGCTTTCGCTAAATGCTATATACGTGCGCATGTTGATCGTGACTATCAAGTCTATATACATATATAAATTAATAAATATGTATATATAGATAAATAATGGATGACTCAATCGGCAAGAAGAATCGATAAGGAGTTACGGTCAGGGAGTAGAGGGAGGTCTAGATGGAAATTGAAAGGATCTTAAAACGACGAGCAGTTTAGTAATAAAAAATATGGCGAAGGCGTAATTCAATGAAAAGATGCAAAAATGAATAAGAAAAAAAAAGCGTTTCTCCGCGACACCAACATATCAGCAGGCATGTTAAAAAAATGAACGAATGCTCACGTGATTTGGAAGAATATGCAGTCTCGTGGTCGACTTGAGCATCAAAGGGTTAGCTTGAGGTATAAATATTAATATTAAAACATAATAAAAGGGCAACAAAGAAAAAAAGGATAAATACATGGCACAGGATCTCGCATCACGTTCGACCGTGCGAATCCCGCGTTGCGTGGGAAACGACGAATGGTAGAGACAAGATGGAAAGAGGAAAAACACATGTGTGATAAAATGACACATGCACATACGTACGCGTACATAATAACACGTTAGCAATTACTTTTCTACAGAATTCATTAACGACTCTATTCATTACACGATAAAGCTACGTCCATTCCGATATACCTTAATTGTAATAGGAAGAATTTTTGTAGAATGCGCCTGAGGAAAGATGAAAAATTGTTTAACGGAGATGAAAGGACAAAAGGAGAAAAAGAAAGTTGATGTAATGGGTGATGAATTTGCACCAATCTAAAGACTGTTTCCCTCATTGTCAGATATGTATTTCCGAGAGACCTCAGAGAGGAAGCAACACTCGTCGCAGCTATTAACGCGTAGAGAAGGAATGAAAAATTGCCCTAGGGATGCGTGCAAGAGCAGCACGTATGTACCTTTGTCCGGCTTTCAGCCTTTCTTCTCGAATTGCAACAATTTATGCTAGTAATAGATTATTGAGATGAGGGAGAGAGTATTAAATCGAGAAACGAAAGGAGGTAGAGCGGGCGAGAGTATAAGAGAGTATATAAGAGAGAAAGTTAGAATGCGAGAGAGAGAGAGAGAGAGAGAGAGAGAGAGAGAAAAAGATTAAAAAGGTAGAGAAAGAGGGAGAAAAAGTGAAAAGATAAAGAGGCCGAAATGGGCCTGCCGATTGGGCCTCTTAGGGAAAGCAAGGAATTATAAAGAACCTAAGGAAGAAAACGCTAACAGGAAATGGCGACGATTAAGAAGCAATAAGTGAATACACGCAAATGCAGATTTTTATATAGAGAATGTTAAAAAATTTCAGAAGATATTAATTATCAATAGCGCTATCTTCCTAAATGTTCGTATTAAAAGATTAAAAAAGAAATCGATAAGAATACAAAGTAAGAAGGAAGCTCAGCCTCCTGGATCCCTTCGCCAGACAACGCCGTCAACGTTCATCTTTCATTCCTCGTGTCACCCTCGTCCTCAGAGATGATATACTCACTCCCTGTCATCATCATCGATCCAGCAAAGTATACTCGCGACGTAAATGGCGAAGGAATGCGCAGGAAGTTGAGGAAAGTTTTATGAATTTTGAGCTGTATCTATATGTGTGTCTAGCGGCAACAGGCGAGAAAGTAACAAGGTGTGCGTGGATGTGCGTGGATGTGCGTGAATGTGCGTGGATGGGCGTGGATAGGCGTGTGTTCGTGAATAGACAAAAATGTAGTAAAGGAAAGAAAATTTGGTGAATGCGATTAAAAGTTTTGAACAAGTGACCGAGTCAAAGTTAAGAGTCTTCCTTTTGGTCTCCATGTGACGTCGCGATATAATTATCCTTTTGTTTCCGCATTCCGAGAAAACCGAGACTCGACAGTGCGTGCGAATGAGTGCGTAAGCTTGTGGGAATGCCTGGGAAATTGAGAGCAACGGGGAAGATTGCAGGATGTTGACGTTTCAAAATTTTCGATTGCATTCCGTGGCAGATATTTTGGGTATCTCGTGTGCGCCTGCTGAGTCTGTTAGCGCAAAACCGAAGCGGGAAGACAAAGTAAAGGACACGTGTGAGAAGGGAGACGAGGAGATTGACAGGAAAAGTGTAGCCCAAACGAACGGATGCGTGAAAGAAAAAAGAAGCAAAAGTGTAAGGCTGAAAGGGTCAAAGAGCAGAGGAGGATATTAAGAAAAACAATCAAAAGTCTGAAATTCGTGCGCCTATCCTGATCGATGAACTTTGATGAATGATTGAGAAGGGGTGCAACCGGGGGCGAGGGGAGGGGGGAGGGGGGTTAAGGATGGAACGAGCAAAGGAGGAAGTCCGTAGAAGAACGAGATCGTTCGATGCCACAGACCTTTTTTTAATACTTAATTCCTTAACGATTTACGCCTCTGTACTACTATTTATTAAATGAAAAACTTATTTATTCTTTATAGATCTGACTAAATTAATAATCTTTTAGTTATCATATGTAAGTTATCTATTTACTGTTATATGCGAGGACGCACTTTTTTTAGAAGCTTCGTCGCCTCGCTTTCGTTCTTCTACTTTCGAAACGGTAGAATAATAAATAAAGGGTAGGATTTTCGGAAAATCTTCCCCTGTGTAAAAGTCGAGCGATCTTAGGGTGATGAATAACGTATAGCGAGGGCAACGACTCGATGACGTGCTCGAGTCGATAAATCAGCAGCTCCATCAGCAATTAGTTAAATGTTAATAGGTCTAAGCGAAAGAAAAGCACCTAAAGTAGGCAGCCGACTTTTGGAAATGCCGGAAGAAATGAATAAAGGAAGAAAGAAAGTTCTGAAAAGAACCAAAATGGGAAGCACACGTCGGAGCGCGATCGAAGCCATGCAAAGGGAGAAAGAAGGAAAGAAAGAAAGTATGCGTGAACGTGAATGCGAGAGAGAATGAGACAAACTGTCGACAAATTTTGGAATGTCTCTAAAACATTTTTCCTATGGTGTTGTCAAGAAGATGTTGAATGTACATAAGATATAATAAATAACATACCTTATACGATGTAAAAAATGGATTCTTATGAGATTTTATTCAGCTTCGTCATATTCCAAAGTTCTTACAATCCATCGGACGTTAATCTATTATTTTATCTTATTATTGTCCTGTTGCAACTCCAGACCAAATAAGATCCTGGACTTATCTTTACGTCTTTCCTTTTGAACCTCACAAGGTGCGTGCAGTATGTGCGCAGACTGGAAGCTGCACTGCAGCCCGGAAGGACTTGAAGGAGTCTCGTATCAATCTAATGAGTAAGATGTGTCGAATGTGGTGCAACTTTAATTAAATATCTAACTATGGATGTATAGTCGGCATATAGTCTTGCTGCAAGTCTTAAGTCAAGTTTTAAGTAGGTAAGACCTATTCATCTCTGTATTACTCTACTTAAAAGACAATTCCTAAGCTAACTAAATAAATTCTCTTTTGTAGGTCTCCTGCATCCTCTCGCTGCAGATGCAACTTTTGCGCGTCTTCGCAACAATTGGAGATGTCCTCTAGCACGATCACGGGAAAAATAATTAAAGGGAGTGAACCAGACTCGTGAAAAAGTAAAAAATGTGAAAAATGCTTGATTATCTTATAAAGTGAGAGACAGGATTCTTAAGAGCACGACGTGTTGCTGCATCCCTGCTAGCCGAAAGTTTGCGCACAGTTAGGAAGGGTGGCGCCTTACGCTCGAAGAATTCGATCAGTTGGAGAGAGTGAGAGAGGGATAATCTCGGCTGGCGAAGACGAAGTCCTGTCAGAATCAGACGTGGGCCTCCACAGAGTTGTTCACCAGAGGCTCGCTGACTTCAGCCGTAGGACCTACGACAGCGGTGCTGAAAAATTCATTCCACTATATGTTACTTAATTGACTTGAGTTTACCTGTAAGCAGCCTTAATGCCAGCCTCAATACTAGAGGGATTAATGATATAAAGAAGAGTAAGTTGGGATGATAAAGCTACAACCCTAGATAGAGAGACTACTGGATCTACTTCCTACGAAGAAAGAAGGATTGAAAGTGCGGATAAAAGATGTTTAGTGAAGCTAACAGATCGGATGATAAGCTTACTTGTTCTATGAATATAAAATATATAAATACGTTAATCTTAAGTCGTGCGATTAATTCAGATTAGATTCGATTAAAAACTATCATGAAGTAGAGTAATTAGACTCGCTCGTTTATTCTTTTTGCTTAAGGAATGGTTAATAATAGATAACAAAATAGTATTACCCAGTTCCAAGCGCCAAAATTGTAGCTTCCTCTACCAAACTCATTTGGTCAAAGTTGTACCTACATCAATGACGAATCGTCAATCATATACTGGTGACACCTTGGTAACGGTTGGACAGGAGGAATTTCTTCTGAGCTGCCTTTTTTTAGTTTTGAGATTCTCATAGCGAGGAGTGGCGATAAGTATAATAACTCGAGGATTCTGGGATTAGTTTTTGGGAATGCGCAATGAATCAACGATGCTCCCGTAGCTTCAATTAAATTCTTTCTTTCTCATCTCCACCTCTCACTTTGATACCTTGACAATTTCGTTCTCTTTTGTTTTTTCGCTTTTACAATCAGACGGCCCGAGAGCTCGTCCAATCTCATTGCAACACGATCTCCACCGAAACGAGCCTTCTATCATTTGAATACGTTTTATTTTATGCAACGTAATATTTACATGGCATGAAAGCGTTACATACATATACACTATGTACAGTTAAGTAGAAAAGTATAGTTAGACTAGAAAGGAATTATTTGCGGAATGTCTCGGAATGGACAAGGCTCGCCATTAAATACATGTATAGGCTGCGTCGCGACGAGTCTTTTCTTAGCGCCTTGGATTCTTTGCTGTTGCTTTTTCTTCTTCTTTCTTTATTGTCTGTTCTTAAAGTAAAGCATCGCGTCGTAGTGGTACAATGTCAGGGTGTAGGAAAAACAAAAAAAGGAAAGAGAACCGCCATCTTTCAGCTTCCTGCCTCTAACTTAATTCAGTCAGCCATCAACGCCGTTTAACGCGAAACCGAGAAGGAACCTCCTGAAAATATGGAGATCTCCAGGGTTACCTGAGAATTGCAAGACGAGCGCGCTGGGCCACCTCGTATGCGCTTACATTACCCCAAGTGCGTAAACGAAATCCAAGGCGCGAACAACCTGTGAGACTATTGTGAAAGTAAGTAAAGTGAAACTATTTTCACCTGGAATGCCAGTGCAAGAAACGTGAACCGCTTAGCAGCTTAAAGAATTATCGGGAGGAACTAAAAGAGCAGCTACAGGGAAGAGGAATGACGAAGTGATTAATCCTAAGGACTACGTCTCTCTTTCTCTCTTTCTCTCTAACTAACGTACGAATCTCAAACTCTCTTCTCCCCCTCGTTCTCCCACTCTCCGAGAGCGCAGTCTGCGCGTAGGCAGAGACAAGTGGAAGCCGCAGGAAGCTCTTTCCAGCCCGTGCGCTCTCGATGCAGGAGCAGCGCGACACAGGGGAAAAAGTAGATGCAAGGAGATGAGAAGAGACGAGAGCTGGCAAAGTCGGACTACGAGATACCTGAAGAACGAGAGCCAGAGAGTCCTGGGGAATCGAACTCAGTCTCGTCGGGCCATCGCTGGGCCGCACTGCCCAGGAGAGTGTGTGTGTCTTCGTCGCAGAGTCTCTCAGGAAAGGTGACACCGTCTCCAAAGCTGCAACCCACACCACCCTCAGTTGTCTATTCGTGTTTTTTGTTTTTTTTTCTTTTTTTCTTTATCAAGAACCATCAATATTCATACCGACACTGGTTAGGCCAACTAGGCAAATCTCTACGAGCCAGATGCACAATACCTTTTCTAAGGCAAACGGTTGCGTTACGCGCATCGACGTATCGATGTACAGGTGTACTGGCACCTCAACCATCTTCTCTCTTTTTTGTTGCGACAACAAATAGACATGCTTCGGCACTCTGCCTCGAGACGAGCGTTACTCTAGGGCGACGGGACAACTTTATCAGGATTTACAGAAAAGCATTACTCATTCTCATGAAGATATACGAGATATAAAAAAAAGGCTAGATACGTTTGATCGCATCCTTCTTCTCCCTCTCTCTCCCTCTCTCTCTCTCTCTCTCTCTCTCTCTCTCTCTCTCTCTTTCTCTTTCGATAGCGTTTACGTGCTCTTCATGCCTTGTCTCTCTTTCTACGAGTACGAGCAAAGCGACAGTACGAGGAAGAAAGGAGTAAGGTTTTTCACTTGCTTTTTACCTCCGTAGTGGCTCGACGGATTCCTCGCGTTAACGTTGCCACTGGTCGACATTTCGTTCATCCAAGGCTTTTCCTCTTAACGCACTGTCGGGCACAATGAGGGTTCTCTTTCCTGATGATCATTCGCTCCGTCGATGGGTTCATCGATCGTTAGCCTTAACGGCCGCAGACACTAACGGAAGGAACTACGGCGCCATGTACTAACGGTACAGTGACAAGGTGCAGAATAAGAAAGAAAGATAACTCGAGGAAACATAGGTTGATTTCTACGAGAGAGGCACATTCACAATGAACTTGCGTTGTGCATCGGAGAAACGTTTCGTAAGAAACTATAATAAAGAAAGCCAGAAGGTGAAGGAAAGGATTTTGGGTTCGGCATGCATCATGCAACCTTGTTCAATGCGCAAAATCCTTACTGCGGAACTCGTCGAAGGAGTTCGGCTTTGCGGCAGCGTCAAATTCACGGGATAAACTCATGTGGTATCCGAGTGGAGTTCCGTAGTAAAGAATTCACCAGCTCCGATCACGCAATTGCGCTAGTACTTTAATTCTCTGACCTGTTCTGAGTACTGCCCATGGAGTCGTAAGTGTTCGGACCACCCTGGTGTTGAGAGCGTACGGGAAAGATCACTCCGTTCCCAAGACTAGAACACATTCGTGCCAACCCCCCATTTAGCCATCAAAATACGTAATTAAAAAGGGCAGCTAATGCAATTAATTTAGTGGCCTTTTCTTTTATTGAACGAGCAATACCGGCCAGTGTGTCTCGAGTGAAAACTATTGTGACCGTTCGTGTGCTTGTTCAGATGGCAAACCGTGATTCCATGTGCAATGATTGTAACGAGAGCCGTGAATTTCCTCTAGGTACAGACAAATGTTCTTGTTTTTAGTTCTTTTTCGTTTCCTTTCAAACGGTTGACTAATCGGCTAATAATTGATGAGCTGTCGTATTTACGCATTGTCGTTCCATTAGCCATGACTAACTATAAAACAGATACAGAAACATCAAGATACGATTGACGTTTCAAGATGTATGTACAGGACTATCCAGTTGCAGCACAATAGTCACATCCGATTACTCTTGGATAGGCCTGTATAGACAATGTATAAACAAATGCACATGATAAAAGTAGAAATGTAGAAAGAAAAATTATAATAGACATGTGAGGACATCAAGCCGATAAGAATAAAGTAAATGCACGATAATAGTATGCAAAATAAAAGTGCAAGGTGAAGGAATGGCGGATAACGATAACTAATTCATTATTAATTCCTATTGATGCTCGACGTGTGTTTTAGGGAACTAAAACTTCTCGGTACTTGTCGCTACGATCGAATCAGAAGTAAGGCGAAAGTACCCACGCTTCGTGTAAGTCGGTATTGTGCAGTTGGCTCAGATTTAGGTTAGAGTCGTTAGAGAATTCGTTTGATTGGCCGCGAGAAATGTGAATTCTAAATTAATTGTGCAGAGAAAGAAAGTAAAGTAGCGTGATTTTTCCTACCTAGTAAAAATTGGAAGGAACCAAAGTCGCGAATCGTCGCCAAAGACTTCTTGAAAATTATTATATTTCCCAAGGCTGAAGCCATCCTTGTCCTTTCCCGTTCTGAACATGGGTGGCCTGAATGCCTCTGTAAAAGTGAAGCAAAGCGAGAGTAAAATTAAAGTGAGACGAAAAGTATCGACTGAGGTTGTTGAGACTCACCAAGCGTTGATCTGTTGTGCAGTATTAGGTAACAATGGTAAAGGAAGAGAGAGGTGAGGCTAACCGCGAACATGAGCGCGACAAAGAACAAGAAGAGCAGATGAAACCTACCCATTCCCTCCAATTCACCCTGTCGAAAGAAACGTTCCTTCGTTAAAATTGTCGCCTTCTCTGGCTGCTGCTGACATTGATATTTGTCAGCGAATTCATAATCATCCATAGTGTTTACCTTCCAAAAACGTATGAAATATTGCAAGGAGGTTGCTGCGATGTAGACGCAGTAAAGGAGGGCATAAGCCAGGAACAACATGAAGAACTTGTAATTGTGGAAACCCACGCAATTGTTGACCCAAGGACAGTGGTGGTCCATTTTGAGAACGCAGGTCCCGCAGACGCTACAGTGATGCGCTCTGTCTGGCTTTATTAGAACGCACTTCTCGCAGAACCGTATCGCTGCAAATGTTACATCAGGTAGTACTAAACGGGGTGTCTCGAGTCTGTGTGGCGTCATCAAGAAGCTGACTAGGAATTTTGAAACTCGTGAGGCGAAAAAGTGCCAAAGTGAGAGTTTCTGTAAAGCAAGGCGAATCTCTGTCGAGTATCGATATATATTAATTACCTCCTTTGATAGTTCGATTTGTTACTGGAAGATCCTGAGCGAACCTCTCGAGTACCTGTCTCTGTGCTTCGTCGCTCTCGGCATGGAGCAAATTCTCCATTTCCGTGGCCGGTATTTTAAACTATAAAAGAGTGGAATATCATTAATTAAGAGGAATGTTTAAGAGCGCATTTGGGCTGCAAATTACGTCGACAGGCGGACGTTTCGTGGAACTCGTTTCGAAATCTTGCCAAGACCTGCGCTCGATTTCTTCGAGCTTCAATAGCGCTATTCGAAAATAAACAAATTCACAGCCAGACCGTAAATCAGACCAGGGCTTATTTCAATAATAGGTGGATTCGAAAGCTGCCAGAAAAGTCAAAATATTCCAAATTGCGACTCGTAGACGTATTCGAGATAAATCAAAAGACGCAGGTAGTCAAATAAAAAATATTATATTGCATTTTATTTTATATTTTGGTACCATGCCATTGCAATTACGATTCCCATTAATCAAGCTAATCTTTTAAGTGACTTCGCTTTACACACAATTTTTGTTAACTTCAAAATGACGCAAGTAATCGAGATCTTTGCTCAACTCCCGGTGGCAATAAGTATTTAAACATAAATGGTGCGTATACTACTGAAAATGCAAGTTAACAATTGAGATATGCAATAACCTGACTCTCACAAATTTATTAATTATTTTTTCATGGACAAGAATGACGATTTTGTTCAGCGACTTGTTTTGATTACACACTTAAGTAAAAGGAAGGCGATACATTATTAATAACGAATGTTTCTAAATTTTCTTACCTTATCTGGGACTCCTACCAACTCTGTGAATACAGTCTGCCAGTACGACCATAAAAACAGTAGGAACAGGATGTGAAAGAAAAACAGGTAGAAAGCTGTCAACAGAAAAAATGTGCTTTTTAACAGACATACAACTTTAATTTTAAAAAACCTTTACCTTTCTGAACATAGCTGTCTATTGTATCTATAACAGAAAGACATTGCCAATTAGATATTCCAGCATATTTGTAAACAACATGTCGATATTATGGATGTATTACACAATGCGTGAAAGAAAATGTAAACATTCGATAAAATGACTTGTTTAAAATGCAGTAGATGTCCACGTGTTCTTAAAAAAAATTAATTACATGCACTGAAATATGCATTAGGATATTACATTAATTCTGACAGTGGAAATCATAAGTAAATATAGTAAAACAATTACATGCAGAACGAATGAGTGACCGAATCGTAGAAAGAGAAAAGGGAGAAAGAAGACTAATGGCCAATTTCTTCACCTTCGGATAAAATTTATCCTCCGGATAAACTTCTAAGACTTGAAAATGAATGATTGAGAGTAAGAAGAAGAGTGATGCACTGAGAACGAGTAAACTCAAAATAATGTGTTTTGTATGTGGTATAGTTGTGTAGTAGTGTAGTAATATATAGCTTACAATAACAGAGTTGCACCACATAAGCGTAGTACGACCAGAAGACGATTGTCAGGATAAAGATAACGGGTATCCACTTGATGGCCTTCAAGCACCACCAACACGATCCATTCGGATTACCCATTCTAAAACTGTAAAAACTACCACCGAACGAAAATCCCAGTGTCCTGGGGCCTCTTTATCTAGTGCACGCAGTCATGCTTTCACTCAACAAATCCCATTCTGCAGGGGAAAAACACACGAGATGTCCATTCGCTGCAGAAACTCATTACACAGTAAACAGCCGAAGTAGTGTGGCAGCTATCGAATCCACCAATTGGACATATCGCTACTCCTATCTGTGGCTCTGGTTCAGCACCGACTAAATCTACACCACGCAAGCGTCCTGGCTCGGTTTTCAAAAGCCACCATTTGCTTTCACATCCTCGAGCCAGATATTCTATGCTTAGACTTTGACTTCTTTCCAATTTTCTTGTGCCACGTGCTTCAACCTTTGCATAGAATTATACTAACATACGTTTACCGTGAATTCAGATATCGAGATTCGGTTTCGTTGCCAATATTCGTGTTGCGAGCCGACACGACCATCAAATGTTTTCGTAAAATGGTGGACGCATTGGCATAGAAATAGGACACCACAGTGCACCACAGTATCAAGCAAGTTGTCGTCGATGTCAGTGTTCATAACCTGAGACGTAAGGAGAAAATTCAATATAGCAACCAGCGCCACCTATATAGGTTCTATTTACGTTCATGATTCGACCAATGACGTACTAGCATTTCATGACTGTGATAATGGCCGCTATGCTCAGAAAATAAGATGCCAGAAGTAGTTCCTTCTAAACGATAGTCTCTGCTGGGATGGCGCCAGTTGTCGAGCAGAAACCGTCCTCTTACGTCTGCGACCTCAGTCACGCCAGTAGTTGAACAACTAGTGCGTTGATACATACGGTAAAGACGAAAGTGGGTGTGACCCGTATGTACCCGTCATTTAAGCCACATCGAGCGCCCGGCAGCAAGAACGCGAGGTAATCTTTCAATTTTTTCTCTGTGAAAATAAATAGTTCGGCTGTATGGCCTCGTAACGAAAAGTTTTGTTTACGCAATAATTCAACGGAGAAAAATCTATGCGTTAGTCGTCATGTGGAGAATTTAAATATATATTAAGCTTTTAACGATATCATGTTTTCCTGAATGAGAAATGTCACTTTGACTTATCTCGGACTTCGAATCAGTGGTGACTCAGGTTACACCTGATTACAGTGCACTAATTATTTACCCATTAGACTGTTTGTTTCAGTATATTTCAAGGCAGTGAAAAACAATGTCGCAGCAACAGTATTATCCTTTCAAGGTAAATAAGCATATAGCACTATAGATTGCACTGACCCACTTTCTCCCGTTATCGTATTACTTGATATTAATTTTATTTCTCTTAAAGCCTTAACATCAACTTTTCAGCACTATTATTTTTATTTTGAAATTCTTGCGATTACAGTGTACACCAACGGTGTACCCTGCAGAGCCTTTCGATGCTAACACGGATGCCGCTATTCTTCGGAAGGCGATGAAAGGCTTTGGAACCGACGAGAAGGCCATCATCGACGTCCTCACTAAACGTGGAATAGTTCAACGACTTGATATTGCTGAGGCTTATAAATCCCTTTACGGAAAAGATCTGATTAGCGACCTCAAGAGCGAGCTTACTGGAAAACTGGAGGACGTGATTGTCGCTCTTATGACTCCTCTGCCGCATTACTACGCCAAAGAATTGCACGATGCCATTTCCGGTTTAGGAACCGACGAGGAAGCAATTGTCGAGATCCTTTGCACATTGAGCAACTATGGCATCAGAACTATCGCCGCATTCTACGAGAATCGTAAGGACTTGACTAATCTGAATTCAGTTAATACAACGCTTCATTCATTTGCACTTTTTAGAATGCTTGTATAATCGGATCGATGAAGAGTAACGCCCTTTCTTTACTCACGTCCCTCGTTCTTCTTTTCTTTTCTTTCTCAATCACTTACTCACACACTTAATCGTGTGTTGTATGACTAAGTTTCTATATTTACATCAGTAGACATCAGGATAACAGTGATGTCATCACTTTTAATAACACAACTAACTCACCCGCTTCAAACTACTACTACTACATACACCGTCAAGGTCCACGTCACGGATGTACATTACACACAAAAAACCTCTAGTGACGTTTCACCGCACATGTAATAATCTGCTTGTGTTTTGTGCGTAATACATTCCTAGAATATCACACATTCTTAAAAAATGCTCATGCCTCAATTTAAGAAAAAATATGAAGGAACTCTCGATATTTTTATTCAATTGGGATGTTCAGCCAAAAGTCGTGAGCAATTGTACATAGAGTTAAATCGAATTTATTTGATTTTTTGTCCCTATCGGAATTTTATTAAATTTCTATGTGAAAATATGGGAAGACAAGGGAATCAGTGAGACTTCAACAACACATTGAAATAACTAATGAGAGATCGAAATCTAAAGATTATTAAATGATTCTATTACGGTGATTAGCAGCATTATTAATGGTTAATCGAAAACGTTTATATCTTTTATTTAGTCTATGGAAAAACTCTCGAAAGCGACTTGAAAGGCGATACTTCCGGGCATTTCAAAAGATTGCTCGTTTCGCTCTGCCAAGGGAACAGGGACGAGAATCAAGGCGTGGATCAGGCCCAAGCCATCGCCGACGCTCAGGCGCTCTACGAAGCAGGTATTTCATTATCTTGTCTTTCGCATTTCGCAAGTTTCGTTGTCGTAACTAATATCTCACGCGCTAATCTGCTTATTATTATTACAGGTGAAAAGCAGTGGGGAACTGATGAGTCACAATTTAATGCAATCTTAGTGACTCGCAGTTATCAACAATTGCGACAAACTTTCATCGAATACGAAAAGATTTCCGGTCACGATATTGAGGTCTCTATTAAAAAGGAATTTTCAGGAAGCATTGAGAAGGGTCTCCTTGGAATTGGTGAGTAAATCGTTAATGCTTTTAAATTGGAAATACGCATAATCTATTCTTTATTTCTCTCATGTTTCAGTCAAATGTGTTAAGTCCAAAGTCGGATATTTCGCTGAACGTCTTTACTCAAGTATGCACGGAATTGGTACCAAGGATAAAACTCTCATCCGTATCATAGTGTCTCGTAGTGAGATTGACCTTGGTGATATCAAAAAAGCCTTCGAGGAGCGTTATGGAAAATCTCTCGAAAGCTGGATCGCTGTTAGTATTTTAAAATGTTGTATTTTCTTATTAATATTTTTCCATTTAGATTTTCTGACTCTTTCTTTTTTTGGACATTCGAAAGGTCTACCAGTGATGAAACTGGAGGAGTTAACTGTTTCATATGTTCCAGGGCGACACATCTGGCGATTACAAGAAGGCACTACTTTCTCTCGTTTCGACATAAACTTAATAAAAATGCACTCTCTTATCCTAACGCTACTCTGAGCTTTGAATTGTGCATTTGTTACTCTATATCTTCTTGTCGTATAATTTCTAAATTATTACCGTTCGATTTAAAGACTTACTGATTTCTCATTTGACTTAATTTATACCCGATACAGTTATCATATTGCAACAGTGTTACTGCCACTTAAAAATATGGGAGAGCTTTGCAGACAAATAATATTAATAATTCGTAGCTACTGCGACAAATCAATTTCAGTATATGAAGATACAAGAATCTCATGACACTGATATCTCGAATGTGTTTGTAGAGAAGTCACTAGAAATGATGTTAAACATATTAAGAAATGTTGGAAGTTGCTTGTTGTGTGTTACTGTAGATGCTTCAAACTTTTATGTGTTTTTTACTTTGACGTTATATTGCGCTGAAGGAACTCATACGTGACACGACTAATCTCAAACTAAAAACTCTTTTGGTCAATTCCTACGGGAAAACCATGGTGAATTTTGTATAGAAGAAGTCAGTAAATTTTTATACGCTTTGTCATGAATGCTCGCGCTTCTCTGCGCTCCGTCATGTCTGTCGCATGATATGCAATGTGTGTTTACACTTATCCAGCTTAGAGCAGAGTGGATACTTTTTTACGATAATATATTATTTTTGTAATCTATTTACACTTTTGCATAATTTAGTACAGTATATTTTCTACACGCGAATGATGAAATACCGAGCGAAGATTTGCCTCGTCGAGTCTCTTGTTCTTAGATGCGGGCTTGTTCCTTATTATACATACATGCATTCTTCGGCATGTATACAAAAAAGATTGATGTCTAACCCAATGAAATCTAATGACACAGAGGGAAGAATTTATTGTATGCTAGCTCATGTACACGTTGTTGTTTGTCAATTTAAGAGGCATTTTATTATTTTGTTAACACATGTATAACTTACTGTTAGGCTATACTATTGTTCACAGCGCCGATGTATGACATCTATGAATGCAAATAAAGGAAAAGGCCAGAGGACTCAATTGAAAAAGAGCGGCTCTGATTTCAATGAGGAGTTCAATAGCAAAGTCCTTTTCTCAGTTCTTCTCTCTTCTTTATTTCATTATGATTTCAGGACGATACCTCTGGAGATTATAAGCGGACGTTAGTTTCCCTGGTAACCGGATAACTAACCTCATCACAGAAACCAACGGTGCTAACTGAATCTGTTATTACGAGTAAAATTAGGCATGGATGTGACTCTCTCCTTAATCGCTGTCCGCGATGATTCCATCAGGAGTAATCTAAAATTTGTGAAAAATGGTTTTAAATAAGAAATAATCGATAATTATGCATTTAAGATATATCAAGTTGTTCTTTACTTGGAATAGAACTGATATCTGTGGCATCGTAACGATCTTAACGGCGTGTGCCACAAATTTACCGCCTATCAATCTCATTAACATAATCCTTCTGTGAATCCGATGAGCCGAGAGTTCTCCTGCAGCTCCGTTGAAGCAATGATCGCCCTTCTCGTCGATTTGCGTTGTCAATTCATTCACAATTATAATCTAAAAAAACAGGCAAATCACTTTTCATAACATGTTATTCAATCTTTGTTACTTTCATCGATACGCATGCGACTATTGCTCTTACAGCAATGTTATGTGACTCAGATAATTCTTGTAGTTCGTTAACAATTCGAAAATAGACTTGCGTTCTGCACCAGGGATCGCGTAGACAGCACTGTACGGGAAACGAAAGACTGTCTAATGCTATGAGCCTGATCTGTAAGAAATGGTAGATTTTCACCAAATTTCTTAAAACAGTCGGTTCATCGATTGTATTGATTTTACTTACACGGGAATTTGTCCTTAGATAATTCTTTATACTAGATATGACTTTGTATAAATCTTGGGCTGTTCTTGCCGACACTACAGTTATGCCCTTTAGAATTTCATCGCGTTGCGCTCGCAACGACTCGTTGGATTTTTCAACGTTTTTTATAATTTCTGGAAAACAATAAAAGAGCTAAACAGAGCTGGACTAATGCGAGAACAAATTGATTCGTTATAATAAATTTTATTGTACAAAACAATTACATTTGAAAATTATTTAAGAGTTCATATGGCATCACCAAGAAGCGAGAAATGGTTATTTGCATCGTAAAATTGATAACTTTTGCCTGGAATTTCATTGTCAATATTCTCCTGTGAATGCTTCATGGTTTCATTCTTTTGTTTAATCCTATTTTTCCGCTTTTTTCCACCCATAACTTTGTTTTCGAGAAAATTATCGAAAATGGGACTAACAGTTGTCAATAAAGCATTGAAGACAAGGCGAAGGCTCGGTGAATTTTGAAGAATCAAGTTGATGTAGGCTGGCACGTCCTTACGCCTTACAAAATTATTATACAAATTGTACAATAAAGTCCCATTATAGACTTGTGCCACCTTTGTACGTGCATACGGATAGTCGAGCAAGGCATTCAGATGCATAGAATGTCTCAGGCAGCTTTGAAATTGGGCAAAGACGTGTACCAGCGTAATATTAAAAATTTTAGGCATTGACAATACTTTGTGATCGACTTTAAAATTGGAAATAAAAAAGGATGCTGCCAGGAGACAGTCTTCATTTGTCACATTATTGTAGGCTTCTAATAACGAGGTGCTTTCGGGATTATTATTTGTTTGACATGTTACAGATTTTTTTTCAGCAATGATAGAATCTATTCGTTTTCTGAACTTCTTATCAAATTTCTTAAGAGATCTATAATATCCTAATTTCTGGTCAATTATGTTGAATAGCATAGCAAACAATAATGTATATACATGACATCTTGTTTTTGGTGGTGCATTCTGCTGTTGAGCCCAATAAATTAACGTCAAAATGTAAAGTCTCCATTCCATTGGTAAATCATTTACTGGCCATTCTTGTGAGATCTCAAGTGCCTCTCCTAAAATTCCTTTTCTAATATTTAAGGGTAGTTTGTGTAGATCGTGTAGCGTTGGTACATCGCAAGACCATAGTTGTTTCACAGGTTCCAACTTGCAGTAACATATTTTCTTGGTTGTACCTCTTACAATATATTCTAAAGATTTGTTACACGCATTTGACGTTAAAAGTGTATATATTATTCTAATAATTTTTAAACTAATCTCATGTGAAGATGGATATGCATAATCTTCAATTTGAGGTGGACATAAGTATAACTGACGATATAATATATCCACAAAATAGCTGGAAAATTGTACTTTGCTGAACTCATCAACAAACCATTCTGGAGCAATATTTAACAACGATCGTTTAACATTGTATTCTATTTCTTCTTGACGATCTTCTACATCTTCTATATCTTCATCCTCATCATTTGATTCTGAATCTTCACTTGATGCAGATGATACTGTTAAACTTGATACTTCCTCTGCAATATCTGTCATCAGATTATCAATATCCTCTTGGTACTTAAAAGGTTTCTTCAGATTTTTTGCAACCATTTCAGTCACAAATTCATTTGTGAAGCCTAAGTGAAGCAACATATGAGACGATATACTTGTATAACTATTTACCATATTTTCAATTGCATTTAAGACTCTTTTCCTGTGATACTTTGGTACTCTACTTAATATCATGGTGATTGCAGAATTTAAATTGTGGGTCTTACACCAATTGAACACTGCATTAATCCTACTTTGTTGTACAGTAGTTTTCTTGCTGATAGATTTTGATAATTTAAGATGTCTTAAGAAGTCACGGAATACACAACGCTTTATATAATCATTACCCAGAAGAGTTGCAGCCAGAGGAAGCATTGTTCGATCCAATCCATTGAACGTTGCTAGTAGTCTCTCTGCTTTATATAGTTTACAGCGTTTAACATATCCATTGTTTGTACTACTTTTCACAACATTATGATGTAAGGTATCGAAGGGTATATACAAAACATCATAGACATAAAAGTCTGAATCAAAACTGAGTACAGGACAACCTAAGACTCTAGCAACTGCTGCAATATTATCATCAGCTTCAAAAAGACATTGCGCATATTGTATTCCTTTTTCTTGCATAATGTCATTAAAAACCTCACTCAAGAACAAGGGAAAAAATTTTCGGGAACGTTGGCGGGATGGAGTATAAGCTGATGCTGCGATTATCTTGTCGCGTATCCTTTTGAGACAAGTTTTAATTTTTTTGTCTTCATATCCTCCATCAAGAAGTACCAAAGGTGTAACATTGCACATAAGTAATTCATCAAATAAATTTTCAACGCATCTTGCATAGACATCGTAATCTCCACCAAACGCACAATTGCATTTAGAATACCAATTGTAAAGTTGACATGCAATACTGTTTCCATCGATAACCAAGTAAGTGTCGTGTAACTCAAAATTTTCCAGATACTGATCTGCATGTCTTGCTATAAAAGTTGTTAACCCACCGACGCCCATTTCTACTTTATCACAATTTTCTACTCGTGCTTTATACTTGAAAATTGTCACACAGTTATTTTTGGCGAAGTAATTTGAAAGACTTCAAACTCAATTATAACCTTCCTTTAAACGCAAGCGTTCATGCTATCTGGATTCGGATTAAACCTGACTAAACAATGAAAGCACGGATGTCGGTCGGCTCTAGTGGAAAAGACCATTAAAATCCTGTGCGATAATGAAGACCACAAGTGTAACGACTTAGCTTGGCATCTGACGCGAAATAAAGGACTGGTAAAGACTCAAATATGCAGTTTTCTTGCAATGTACTCTATTGCGTGGTAAGAGAGCAATCAAGATGCAAATTTTACGTTTAAAACAGTGTTTTTATTAGATTTTTTTTAAATGTATCCATTGTCAATGCAAAATACACGTCCACAACTTTTCGACATTATTTTAGTTGAACATAGGCGTCAACACAAAGTCGGCTGAAAGTGCTGTTAGTATATGCGAGTATTTGTTGTGTTCGGTACTTTACAGACGTCTGCTTGTATTTGCTGGAGTCAGTAAATAAATTTCAACACAATGATAACCTACGAACGTTATTTATACTTTTACGGACCTCTATGTACTTAATATTATTTACTAATTTCACGTGGATATAGTACTTTTCATTAAGATATTCCAGAAAGACATAAGTTCGCGTACATGTACTCAACGTTTGATATTGTTCATTTCTTTTGTTCAATATTTTATTCAATGTATTACTATTGCAAAGCAGTCTTCTCTTAAAAGCTCGCTGTGCGTTTGGACATAAAACAATCACATGACTAGTAGCCGAGCACTGTAAGTGTAAAATTTCCATTTTATGATACATTGTATCAGTGGTATGAAAAAGATGATCAATGTAACAAAGTGTGGTTCTCTTCATTTATTGCAGATTATGGATGAGTTACACAACCTCTTCTTTTATGCCAACGTGTGCCATGTGTGTAAAGCCTTTAGCAAGGAATTACCCTTAAAAAGATGTGGAAGTTGCCAAATAATATCATACTGCGGTAAAGAACATCAGAAACAACATTGGCCACAGCACAAATATCTATGTAAAATTCTCTCAGACCTACGACAAGAAACTGGCTCAAGTCTATTTCCAAAACCTCAAGATTCTAGTAACAAGAGTTGGCCTCAAGTCAAAACAAATTTGATGCTTATTGTAGCATTAAAGTCATCACGTCGTTTGGAGTTGTATGAGGAACAGATGTTTAAATTCCCAAGAGCATGTGTAGTATGTCATGAGAGTGAATCAAAGACCTTGCAAGATTGTCAAAATTGCCCTGGTGCAAGTTTTTGTCCTTTACATAAGTCAGATTCAGTGCATGAAAAACAGTGTGCTTCCCTTAAGCTGTGCTTTGATCTTGATGTAACAGCTACATTGTTCGAACGTCAAGTGCCAAGACATGTAGTTCCTTTCCATACGGACAGAGCATATTTACCAAGTACAATAAGAGACTTTATAGATCTTTATGTGAATGAAAACAAGACATTGCCCATGTCTTTTGACTGCCGTATCGCTTATACATCTGAATATTTAACCAGACCACTGACCCTGCTCTATGCTATACAGAGATTAGACTATTCTCCAGGCATCAATATGACGATCCATGTAATTGGGGCGAATGTAATCGAATTAGACGGTTTGGAAGTTTGGGAAATTTTGCTGCATTGGCTACCGGCTCTAACTGTGTTGAGAATCATATTAATTGGCCCGGAACTTACGCGGAGCACTCTAATACCCAACGTTTGTGATTGTTGCGCAGTTGAGGACATGCGCGTCCATGTGGATGTATGTAACATGCTCTATCAGGATTATGTGAACAGTCACGGGTTCGAGAATCCAGATTTCATTATTGGATACAATGTCGGACTTCACGAATGCGAAGATTTTTCATCGGAAAATGATACTTGGTCTCCATGTGTGAGATCATTAGGTACACAAAATTGCCCAGTTATATTAACTTCGTACACGTTGGAAGAAGCAAAGAAAGATCACGAGAGGATCTGCGCGGTTCTAGGAGATACAGTAGCTCTTGTATTATGTGAACACAACCCATTTGCCAGTCTCAGACCTCATCGAGATTTTGAGGTTGAAGATGTATATTATCAAAATCAAATTATTACTATTTATCGAGAATTAAGTGTTGTAACTCTTTGCATAGTCTGAAATTAACGTAATTAATGCGCTGTTCAGCTATTGTTATGTTAATGACTTTTCAATTCAATATTTATTGGATGTGTCACTAAGTCGGATGCAATGATATACATATGCCCATTCTACTATTTTCTTCTTTTTTTTTTCGAGAAGTAACCATCATCATCAGTAGATAGATTTCTACCTTAGATTTAATCGCAAAATTGTAGAACTCCAGCTGTGAGGTGCAACCTTGTTATTTAATTTCCTTACGGTACATTTAAAGATCTTTCCCTGCTGTTTACTGGGATGCTATCCTTATCAATCCCAACATACGAATGATATATACTGTTCGCACCCTATCCTCATTTACTGCCGTGTATCGTAGATTTTGTATCGTTGTGTAAGACGATCAGTTGTCAAATTTAATACTGAATCATTAGATTTATGTGAGCGATGCATTTCACATTTTACAAGAGATAAGCGAGAACACTGGGACCGCGAATAGTTTCTTAGTTTCCTTATTGACGCACAGAGTTTTTTTTAACGACCCTTCTACCAAGTAAGGAGTGTGAAAAAATACAGAAACAAGATTGAAGAGGCTTTGCGAAAGATCTTTCGTGATTAGAGACGCAATGATGTTATTTTATTATTGTTACAAAATCTCGGCCCTATAAGCAATCAGCTCAAGAAAGTCTCTTGAATTGAAGACAAGAGGACGAACTTCGTTCACCCGAAAATTCGATTCCTACTTAATTCTACACCAGTGTTTTTTGTTCTGCGAATTGCGTATGATGGGGCTATATGATAATTTATCCCGTCGTTGTGTAAAAACATACTATCATTTAACAAATATCAAAAGCAATGCCGGATCAAAGATATTTATGAAATTTTGCCTTGTACACGAGCTGCATCAGCATAGCCGACCTTCTGAACGAAAGAGAAAGAAAGCGTACTAACCGTGTAGTATTGTCAGTGCCTTACGAATTTACGAAGAATTCTAGGAAAAATCCTAAACATATTGTCGTGATATACCCATGCATTGCGGAAAGATGAACGCATTATACAAATTACAAATTTAATATTTGTTATTCCAAAGAGCGCTTCGACTCGTCGATACTTGCAGTAATTTGGGTAAAGATATGTGCAAAAAACAATGTACATTTACGAACAATAAATGATTTGGATACGGCTATAAAAGATATTATATATAGTTCCTAAAGTAATACTTGAACCGATCGTAGAAGATATTCTGAGTATTATTGTTGATGGTGTTGGTGAGTGTGATGAGATAAAATATACTATGACTGTGTTTTGTGTAAAAGACTAATAAACCGATCGCTTACCATCACAGCGGTTTTTTGTTCTTACCTTCTAGTCTCGTAACAGATAAACCATTCCTCGTGTCAATATAAATTGCTCGACCATTGACACCACCTTGATCCTCTTTCAGTTGCACGGTAACGCAAGCCTGCAAGCTGAAACGTATTTCAGAATATTTTAGATTCCTAAAACTGTCGCATGTTTCTTGTATATAATTCTATCACTCATCATATAACGTTTATCGTGCCTCTTTCTACAGCTTTGATAGTTCCAAGTAAAATCGTGTTACCATAGCTGTGTCTTTCCAGATCCAGGTGCACCGTATAGTTCTGTAATGGTTTCACATCGAAACCCGCCATTAAGAATAATATCCAGCGCTCTACTGGATGACGATACATAATCATTCAGGGATTCTTCCTGGTAAAAAGTATTACAAACTCTGTGATTTATAATATAAACAGTGTGTCGTAATTCAATTGAAGACTTACTTCTAACAGTCCCAATGCAGAAGTAGTTAAGGGAATCTTCTGAAACTTCTCCAAATTCGGAATATGTGTACATTTTGTGCATAAATCTGAAAGTATTTTATTCCGTTAACGTGGTATTCTATATCTGTATATAATTTGCTTTATGTCATCAGTCCTACCGAGGTTGTTTATGATATCTTGAACGTATGGAAAGCCGTTTTCGCGCAGTTCGGCAATTGTTTCCTTCGATACTGATAAAGTAGAAATAGGTTGAAGCATTTTAGATTGTTCTTATTTTGCGAAGTTTTTCGAAAATCTGTATTACCCGATAATGTGGCAAACTTCACCTGGTAAATTTATCGCAGTGTAGTTCGACTCCTCGAAAGAAACAATTTAGGATAAGCAGAACCAACTTCGGACATAAGGAAAGCGCGACTGTATGATTGAGTGGGCTGTCAACGAATGTGTATTTAACAGTGTGTGTGAAACGTAAAACAGATCCTTATACGGTCAGAGGGGAGAAAATTGTTTAAAAAACTAGTAAGACAGTTTATCGTTAAGCTATTCTCGTTGTTTTAGCCAATCGGTGAGTTTCTTCTATCCATGTGACACTGATTGTTTTATAATTTCTAAATACATATTTCTACAGTTTTACAACGAGAGCAAAAGAGTTTTCGCAATGGATACATTAATTCAACAAAAAGTAATTGAGGTGGCTAATCAAGTGGAGAAGCAGCTTGATGCAGAGTTGGAAAAACTTGATAATTTGGATATAGATGACATAGAAAAATTACGCGAAAAACGGCTGAGGGATATGAAAAAGCTTCAGCAACAAAAGCAGACTTGGCTGTCTTTGGTATATTATAATTCCAAATTTGTAAATCTGTTAATAGAGGTGTTCCCTAAACTTATTATGTTATTCTTTCAGGGTCATGGCGAATATACTGAAATTCCCGACGAAAAAGAATTTTTTGAGGTTTCCAAAAAATCGAAGAACATTGTATGTCTTTTCTATAAAGATGATTCACCAAGATGTAAGATTGCAGACATGCACTTGAAAATCTTAGCAAAGAAACATGTTGAGGCCAGATTTTGCAAACTTAATGTTGAACGATGTCCTTTCCTAACAGGTATTAAAATTCACTATTTGGTGCACATTGATATAATACTATTTTGTTTAAATTAGTCTCTATTATTGACCATTTATTGTTTTCAGAACGCTTACGCATCAAGATCATTCCTACTATAGCTCTTATCTCTGATAGTAAAACAAAGGATTATATTGTAGGATTCACAGACTTGGGTAATTGTGATGATTTTTCCACAGAAATGTTGGAATGGAGGATTGCTCAATCAGGAGCAATAACATACAATGGAGATCTAATGCATCCACCAGAAGTAACAAAGAAGTCCAGGATTTCTCAAGTACCAAAAGGAAAGACTATTCGTGGAAAGGACTCAGATGATTCTGACGAAGATTTAAATTAAACAGCATTATTAGCAAACAATATACAACAATTACATACCTGTAATGTTAAAAGATTACACTCAGTGATACAATAGTTATAAAATCCCTGATATATATATAACTATTACATTTCTGAATGGGACCTTTCAACATTGTGTAAATGTAACTATTATATATTGTTCACTGAGTTATTTCTTTATGTACTTGCAAAAATACTTTGGGCGCTGATTTGCCAATCATTCATATTTGTAATTTATGAATTTATATAAAATTTTTAAAAAGGCAGAATAATTCCATGATAGTATGTCATTCATAAATTAATAAATGGAATAAAAAAACTCATACGAGTTTAAGTTCTAATACTCTATGCATATTATATGAATGAATTAGAAATATAAAAAATTGTTGACATCCTTCCCCTTTTTGTAAATATAATTTTTTTTATCTTTTAATTTTTGTTTGATATTTTTCAGCAATTCAATAATTAGGGCGACTGAAGGTGGGATACGTTGGTTGGTAGGATTCAGGGCTAATCATGCGTCTCAAGTCAACGACTTCTGTGTATTTATTATTCACTGGCTTTTGTACGCTTTCTAAAAGAGCCACTGACGGGTAGTATTAAGTGATCGCGCACCTCGTAGCCACGCGTTATTCTCAAAGCTTTCTGCTTCATTATTGAAGAAGTTTGGAATTTGAGATCTTAAAGGAGGGCAATAGCTAGAATGAGATGTGCATTATGGCATATCTTAAGAATCGATTTACGAATTGACAGGTAAATCCTGATTTCGCGTAATGCGATCAAAAGTCGCTAAAAAAAGTAATATTTATCAATCTTGTGGTATATAGCTGCGTAGTAAAAACAGTTTTAATATTTTTTAATCCGTTATAAAGTAGTATCAAACAATAATGGGATATAAACACGCGTCCGTGAAGCTATCATATAATTTTTCGTGAGTGGCATTTAAGTGTGTGCAAGTGTGCCTCAGGAAAATCCATTCATCAAGGAAGCAACTTTTCTTCTGTACAAGAACTCGGGAACAAGTAAGATTTGGAATTTTTGGATATGGGGAATTAATAAATATTTTTCTATTTGTATGTAGTGCATGTTGAAAATTAAGTGATGTCTTCACCGGATATAGATTTATATAGTCGAGCGGAAGCGTAACACACGAGGGAGAGATGCGCGAATAAAGTATCATATAAACAGTTGGACATTCACATGTAACGCAAAACTTTTATTTTACTTTCAAATTATACATGCTCATATAACTTTGTACAACATCCATTTAGATAGGTTGGTCTTGTAAGGATCAGAAAACAGTCAAAAAACATGCGTGTGATCTTGGTGTGCATTGTTACCATTCACTGAAAAAGAATTAATTGTATAGGATGGAGAAATCTTAGAATTTGACTAAATAATACTACAATTTATTAAAATACAAAAAATACATTCGATGTATTTTAGAACATCGTACATACTGTATTACATATAGTTTCTTTTTAATGTTTTTTTGATGCCTTCCATTGGTCCCTTTCATCCCAAAGTGTAAGTCCGTCACAGGCACAAATTTGCTTTCTATTCTCAAAAATACCAGATGACCGAGCCACAATACCACAAGCTAATCTAGATTAATAATATTAAATGAGAAAATTATTCTTCCCAGGTTTGAAGAAACAGATTTTACCTTGAACCACTGTTGCCATCCACCTTTGACGCAACATTATTTCCTTTTCCAAGATCATCCTGTCCTTCCGTAATTACTAATGATCTCCCAATGATGTCCTGTACTTTCAAAATATTATCTGTTATTCGGAATGTAGCTCTACCTGTGTTGTCAGCTTCAATGTTTCCTAAATCACCCACATGCTATAACCAGAAATATTAATTAATTAATTTATTTATTATATTACCAAATTATACATACCCTTTTAGAAGGTTCATCATCAGGACCTCCATGTAGCGTGTTGTATGGATTAAAATGTTCTCCGAGACTGGAAAAATGCCAGAATGAAATAGAAATTGGATTTTTCAATATTTTGAGTGTTATAGTATATACCTTTCACAGCCTTTTGATATGTCTCCACATTCATGTATATGCATTCCATGAGCTCCTGGTGTAAGTCCATCTATTGTTCCATCTATAATGCAGCATTCTGGTATTTGAATAAATCTAACAACACCTTTTATTTGGTCTCCAACACTAAATCCAGAATTACCACCTAACATTGAAACTGCACTGGCGTGAGTACCTGTGGAACACATAAGCCTATTTTGTTATTATAATACATAGGTAATAAGATAGTCTTTTAAATTTTTTTTTGCCATTCTTACCATATCCCTTGAGAACTGCCGTTCTTCCTGAACTTTCAATCTTTTCTTGAATAAGGGAATGTGGCAAGTTTGTTTCCACAATAACACTACCATTATTGAAATCAATATCAACTTTACTAATTCCCTTAATCCCTTGCAAACTATTTTGCACTGCATCAACACATTTTTGACAAGTCATCTGCACCGCAAATTCAATCTATAACAATAAGAATTAAAAGCTTTTCCTAATATAAACCTTTCCAGTAACAAAATATATCCTTGCATGTGTTTATCACCTTCGTTAACACCATTGCGAATTGTTTTGTAGAATTCTCCTTAGAAGACAATGATAAGGCTACTTTGTATATTATCTATTTATGGGAAATGTTTAGTATCCAATTCGGTGAAAAGTAAGAACACGTAAAACGGCGATTACGTTTATCTTTTTGGAGGCACGTCAATTCTTATGAAATTACGAAGAAATTTGGTACGAAATACAATATTATGTGCAGTCAGCGTCATTAATGCCTGAACTTATCGATAGGGTTAAGAACGTGCTCGGTCACAATGTGCACTGTATTTATCTTCAGAGTTAACGGACGTGGCTAGTCATCAGTCCAATCACCGGGCCATAGTATTCAATAGGATTGAGTAGGATTCTCACCGAATAGAGATTTTCCCGCGCACGCGAATGTCACACCCATGCTTTTGAGATAATTTTATTATAGAATTTGTCTGCTTCTAGTCTTTTTTATCACAAATTAAATAACGTACAGCAATCTGAAGTAAATATTGCGTTTCATGAACTGTGCGTTCTTTTTTCATAGTGTTGTATGCATAGTGTTGTGTGCATAGTGTTGAGAGACCTCTTGGTTTTGAAAAGCCCTTTTTAAGTATTAGGGTTATGCGAGCTGAAAAAGTTGTATGTCAAAATATATTATTTTAATATTCTTTTCATATTCGATATTTATTGAGAGATGAAGTGAGCTTTGCCAGAAGTAAGTGAGAAGGGTTATTTTAAAGCTTGACTCCATTTCTTAGATATTTGTGTACAATATCTTAATATCATTGCTAAATTAAATAGATATAAACAAATGATGGCAAAATAATCATAAAAAATAATTTACAGTTAAATATTCACGTTTACTTATAAATGTGTCCGATTTTAATTCAGTTTTTGTTTACACAAGTCATAATAGATGATGAGTAGTGATGAAACTTCTAATTATGCCAAATGGTTTTTTAATAGTCAGCAAAAAGGGTAGATATGGACCTTTCTTGAGAATGTTAGGTATTATTTTTTTTTCTTTATCTGTTCATTCAGACGCTCGGACATTAAAACGATATGCCACGACGAAAGTGTCTAGCAATCTTAGATTTATCGAACAATAGAATTTGTTGCTTTTGTGGGCTGTCTACAAATAATGAGCTTGAATATGGCAAGATATATGAATATGATGACATCATTGCTCATTATTACTGCCTGGTAATGTATTTATTTTTTTGTTTTTTTTTACCTTTATATATCAGATATATCAGTAATATGGAAACAATATGAATAAATGGATTTCAGCTTCTTTCATCAAATATGCAACAAAATGGCAGTGATGATGATGGTATATTGGGTTTTCTCACAGAAGACATCCAAAAAGAACTCAGTAAAGCTAAAAAAAGAGTGAGCACCTGATAATTGATTACAATTATATTAGAAATATGTTAGGCTAAACTCCAAAATACGACTCATTCTTGAAATTAGCTTTGGATTGTTTAGTCTGTTTACATAAAGCTCTTCAAGAAGTTGTATTCTATAATTTTGCCAAATGTTATTTTACTCCTGCTTAATTAGTTTTATCTTACACTAACCTATTTTTCATTTCTTTCAGCAATGTCGATATTGTAAAAAAAGGGGTGCTACCTTAAAATGTTGTAACACAAAATGTAAAATAATTTTTCATTTGCCCTGTGGTCTTAGGACTGGGTCACTCCATCAATTTTTTGGGGAATTCAGGCAAGCCTTGCTAGTATTATTATGCAATCAAATCAGCAGATGAATTTGTATGAACCTCTATACTCTTATTACAGATCATTTTGTAAAAATCACAGACCCATACAAAGAATAGATCCTGTCGTCAAAACACAATTAGAAACATTAAATAATTTACTCTGTTACATTTGCTATGACAGTGTAAATCCTCACAATGTAGTTGAAACTTTATGGGCTCCTTGTTGCAGAAAAAATGCTTGGTACCATCGAAAGTGTGTTCAAGTATGTTTAGAAATTATATACAATTCATTGGTAATAAAGAAAACAAGAAGAAATAGTGCCCAAGAAAATCTTCAAAATAATAATTTCTTTTACAGCAACTTGCACTTAGTGCTGGTTATTTTTTTAAATGCCCTTTGTGCAACAACAAAGATGAATTTCAAAAAGCAATGTTAAATTGTGGAATATTCATTCCAAGCCAGTAAGTGGAAGTAACTAATGTTGATTTTTCAATTATTTCTGTTATTCATTGGGAATTGTTTGGCTAGGGATGCTTCTTGGGAACTAGTGCCGAATGCATATGAAGAGCTTCTTTATAGACACGATCGTTGTGATGCACAAATTTGCCTTTGCCCAAAAGGACGAAATTACAGTAGCAATGAGTAAGTGATTGTGAATGATTATGATGAAGTAATTATCGTATTATTTGATTTGCTTAATCTTATTATTTTTAAGGACTAAGTGGGAATTAACGTTATGCCGTCTTTGTGGCTCTCAGGGAATCCATGTTGCTTGTGGTAGACTAAAAAATGCCAATACCATTTGGGAATGTACTCAGTGTACTGATATATTAAGTAAGAATGGCATTCTAAACAATTTAATTTCAGCTTATAGATTAAAATTCAACTTACTCTTTATTTATTTTTCTTGTAAGACAAATCCAGCCAAAACGTCATTCCTACAATAAGACAACAGGACATTACACTGTAAGTATCTAGCCTTTTATGAGAAATACTGCATAAATTGTTAAACGATTTACTTCCTAGAAATTCAAGGTACAGCGATTTCACGGTCATGTCTAAGGAATCTGATAGTGATAACAGTGATAGTGACATATCAGTTGGCAGAAATTCTCCTCTAACAGTCAAATTTGATGACGAAAGATACTTGCTACCATTTTCAAGAAACATTATTAAACCAGGTCCACTCTCGTACAAGATTCAGCAAGTGCGGAAATTTATAGATAACAAGTAAATTAACCTAAACGTACTTATATTTAAAAGAGGATTATTTTCATCGATGAATAGCACGCCACTGAATCATAACATGATTTTCAGTAAGAACTTGCAGTCACGATCTGATCATTTGAATTCTGAGTTTAACAATAAGGATTTTAAGAACGTGAGTAGATTAAATGACGAGAATAGTACAACTGAAAGCGATTCACTTCAAGAGAATATTTTAAAAGAATCAGAAACTTTGATAACCATCGACAGCGATGAAGAAATAGTCGAGGTAATGTATCTAAATTAGAGGGAGGAGTGATGCATTTCAGCTTATATACATGTGAATTAGAAATGGACCTGCATATATATTTTTCCTATAAATTTCTTAGATTGAGAATCCGAAGCGGCCAATTCGTTGTGAGCCTGTATCAACGATAACCGACGGTGCCTCAAACGTGTCGCAATATTTATCGAAATTTTCTCGGCAGATGGATCTGCCAAGTAAAAACATAACAGAAATAAATTATTCGATGCACAATGCGTGTTTGATCGATCCGGGAGCTGACGAAATTGTGTTTAGTTCAACGGGAGAGATTAGTCCACAATGTAACGTTTTCGAGAATTCGGAAACTTCTGGTTTAAACATTAAGATCGTGAATGTGACATCGGTCTCTCCAGAAGACTTTGCTGATGTTTCTGACAAGTCAGAAGAGAGTACTAGTAGTAGTAGTGCTCTAAGCGTTCAGTCAAACGGACTATGTTGTCCAGTTGATACGGAGCAATCAGTTTTGAAAAGAAAGATCAATTTGCGATGGTCGAATATTAATATGCTTCGTACTAAAAAGTTTGCGGATAATGATGGAAATAAGGAATTACGGAATAATCCTGGTCCAAGTTCACGCAATGAAAATGAAGAGACGATGCGCAATGATAAATGCGAAAAGCGGAAGCAGAATTTTGATATATGTACATCGTTCTTTGGAGTTCCGAATAGTATAAAGAAATTGGCTGCAAAGAGCCAGACCAGAATACCAGAAGCATCGCCTAATACGGCTGTACGGATGAATAATGTCGCGAATAGTCAGTCTAGCGGAGCAGAAGTGATAAATGTTTGCGACACGTGGGACAAGGCTCAGTCGATGGAAGAAAATATTCGTGAAGTTTTGCAAGAAGATTCCCCGAAAATCGCAATGAGGAGAACCAGGATTTCACGTCCAATTGAGAGTGACGAATTCAGTAGCAGCAGAGACTTTGCTACGAAAAAACCTCGTGAAGAGAGTTCGCATTTTGAGGAGCAAAATTCCAGCAATGTGAGTATGGTGAATATCTGTGTGATGTATGCACTAACGACAGATTGGCACGACCGATATTCCCGCTTTATGTCTGATGCGCCAATAAGATATATATGTTTGTTGATTTGTCAATTGCTATGAAAACTAAAGTTCGCATTGATACAAGCGAATGTTTGTCCGATCGGATGCGAAATGCGGCGGGATTTATCCATTATTTGATCATCCCAGCCTGTGTCTCTTCTCCAGTGTATGTCTTGCGATTCTAACAGTGTGACGGGGATGCAGAGATCGATGCCTCTGATGGGTCCGAAAGTTGCGAACGAAATATGCAATGTGCAAACAGCATCGGGACCCGATCACAAATGTCATGCGGATGGTCAAGTGCTTCAGGAGAGTCAGATTGTGACACCTCCGATCAGGACAGGTTAGTAAAATCATTACTTACTAGTCATGATTCTTCTGCGATAAAGTTTTGCAGGCAAATCGTTATGTATTTTCTGAAGCATTAATCGATTTCTCTTGGACGGATTGTAGAACGCAGGATCAGAATACCTGTTCAAAGTTCCGTAGTTATTCAGCCGACTGTTCGGAAACTTCTAATTTTGGAGACTCCTTTGATCCAGATAGATTGATACCAGGATTAATGCGTTTGTGCGATCTTAAATTTCATGTTTGTGGCTCGAATGTTGTACAGGTATATTTTTAATATTGGTCATTGGAATTTAAGTCGAACAGACGCATAGCACATGTACTCTGCTTGTATACTTGCAGATGAACGTGCGTAATAAGATTACGATGACTATTAAGATGAATGATACTAGAGTACATAATCGTAGAAAAAATCGTTCCTTCTCTAAGAGGAGATTTGACGGAGATGCGGGTAGTGAGAAGCTCAGAAAAAGGTTGTGTATTGAAGTGGATGAAGATATCACTGAAGATTCCTCAGCAGATGGACATTCGTTAATTTGCTCTGGTGCAACGCAAAGTGTGAACGATGATGGCGTTTGGTTTAACGAATCCTCGCGCACCGAATTCCTCGTGAGAAACTTAGAGAATCCGGCCTCTGGTGCATTTAGATTAAACAATCTCAATGGAAATGCTAGGACAAAGTGCTTCATTACAAAGAAGAATACTCGTGACGAGCATAAAGAGAATCTCGATCCGTCTTCTCCGAAATCCGGTAATTCCTTTAGAAATGTTTGTTTTGTGGAGAAAAATAGTTTGGTGAATTGTCCGCCGACATCCGCTGTTATTAGCAATTTATCAACTACTGCTATTACTACTTGTAAAAGGAATGAGGGTGACGTAGTTTGCATCACTAACTGTAACTGTAGCAACTCCAAACTCCAGCACGGTTCTATACGATGCGGTAAAGCTAACGAAAACACGAACTCTTTCGAATCGAACGATGATTACAGGCACCTAAGTAAAAATGATATTTATTTATTGAGAACTTCAGTTTCTATGGAAAGTAACGATTTTCGCGATACATCACTCTCTTCCAGCAAAAAGACATTTTACTCGAACGACTATATTAAGGCTGGCCCGATTGCAAGTTGTGTGGTTAGTATCGATCTTGCACGGATTCAGAACCTAGAGATCAAACCAAATTCATTTTTTCAAAAATCGGGTAAGAGTCATATGAGTATTGAGCACTTAAGTGATCCTACAGCGTGTAACAATAGAAGTATTGGGCTAGTGAAATCTTTAAGTTTGGGGGACTTGCGCGTATCGTCAGTATCAAATCCATTGAGACGATCTAGGAGTATGTCTGATTTGGATAAAGAGAAACTACAATCAATTAATTACAAGTCCAAAAAGTTATTTGGAAATCTTATAGGCACTCAAGAGATCGTTGATAATTTTTTAATAACAAATGACGTATCAAACATGCAAAAATGTATTTACGATAGTAAACATGATTGGTGGAGTAAAAAGAAACATGTAAAAACATTGAAGTGGTAGATGAACATTATTTAATTTTAAATGAAACTTTTCTTTCGGTATATTTCAGAAAGTTCAATAGACTGTTTGCCTTTCGATGAGCTAAATCTATTTAACCCAAGCCAATAAAATTGTTGATATTTTTGGGATATTTACTAAAGACATTTCTCTTGGTTCCTGTTTTTATAGCAAATTTCATTGGTAATGTCTTTTCTTTTAATGCTCTAGAGAAGCCAAAGACGAAAACAACTTTTCGTTTGATCATTGTTAGTTCTGCTTTTGTCGATTCCTACGTTACATATGCATTCAAATGCAGCATATGTATGTCGATATGCACATATATAGATATGTATATATACATACAGTATATTTTTCTGTTGTCTTGTAAAATTTCAACCGGCGTTCATTTTTTTCGTTCGAGATTGCTGAACGCTTGCACAAGATCCAGAAAATCACGGATATGACTGTAACGCGCATAACATGTTACATCGTTTTTTGACTGTATATAGATTATTAAACAGTTTAGTCCTACCAATCCCGGTGAAGAATTCGAAGGATCAACTGTTAACCATTACGCGAGATTAATGAAACAAATATGAACATTGCATTGTGAACCGTAGTGTTAGCAGAAGAAAGTAAGTCTAAGAATAGCTGTATGTTTCATTTTACTTATACTAGCCATGAATATGTAACGATCTCTGTTAAAAAATTTAATGTGTTCTGCGACTTTATCTAAAGTTTCATGCTGTATAAAGAAATTAAAGAGGTACAGCAGCCTCGTAGAATAATTTTTCTATTAAGGTGACAGAAAGAGATGGAAGATGAATCACTAGCGTAATTCACTGATTAGGGAGAGGTGTACAATCAAAGTATTTACAGTAAATGTTTGCAAAAAGATATCTTTTTGTTGATATTTGTACAAAAGGTTAGGTTAGGTTATATTATGTTATGCTTAATTGGACGTGGGAAATTTGTCTGGCGAAGTTAAAAGAATGACGGTTGAATATTATTTTAATCGTCAGCTCCTTCCTCCAGGGCTTCCTCGTCCTGATAAGCTCCATCACCCTCAAAGGCATCCTCATCATCGGCCGTAGCCTCCTACCAATGAAAAGAAAAATTATACCGACTATTGATATGTGCGTGTAAAAAGATTTCCCTTATAAAGGACAAATGTCGCACCTGATACTGTTGATACTCTGAAACCAAATCATTCATGTTGCTCTCAGCTTCAGTGAATTCCATTTCATCCATTCCTTCACCAGTGTACCAATGTAAGAAAGCTTTACGGCGAAACATGGCTGTAAACTGTTCACTGATACGCTTAAAAATCTCTTGAATAGCAGTGGAGTTGCCAATAAACGTGGATGACATTTTCAAGCCTTTCGGTGCAATGTCGCATACTGCAACCTTCACATTGTTGGGAATCCATTCCACGAAATAGCTCGAATTTTTATTCTGAATATTGAGCATTTGTTCGTCAACCTCCTTCATTGACATTTGGCCTCTGAAGATGGCTGCCACAGTCAGATAACGACCATGACGTGGGTCGCATGCTGCCATCATGTTTTTGGCGTCGAACATCTATCAAGAAAAGAGATTTTGCATATATTCAATACGAATATTATTTTTATTTATCTACCTGTTGCGTGAGTTCGGGTACAGTTAGTGCACGATATTGCTGACAGCCACGAGCCGTTAGCGGAGCGAAACCTGGCATGAAGAAATGAAGTCTAGGAAATGGTACCATGTTGACCGCGAGTTTTCTTAGGTCTGCATTTAGTTGACCGGGGAACCGTAGACACGTCGTTACTCCAGACATTGTCACCTAATAGATAATTATTTTTATAATTTTAATAGATTCAAAACATTTTTTTATTTACTCACAGACACTAGGTGATTTAAATCACCATACGTTGGTGAACTCAATTTCAATGTGCGGAAACAAATGTCGTACAGAGCCTCGTTATCAATGCAAAACGTCTCATCGGTGTTCTCTACAAGTTGATGCACTGAAAGAGTTGCATTGTACGGTTCTACGACAGTATCTGATACCTAGGTTAAAATTTTTTATTTAACGTTAAATTTCTTTGAAATAGTTTAGCTGTTTAAGCTTTTTTACCTTTGGCGAAGGAACGACGCTGAAAGAATTCATTATACGGTCGGGATATTCTTCACGAATTTTAGAAATTAATAAAGTTCCCATTCCTGAACCAGTGCCGCCTCCAAGAGAATGAGTTAACTGGAAGCCCTGAAGGCAATCGCAACCTTCAGCTTCCTTTCGCACTACGTCCAGAACTGCATCGACCAGTTCTGCACCTTCTGTGTAGTGTCCCTTGGCCCAGTTATTGCCTAATGTGGTGAAATTATAAATTATAAAAGTATTTGTAAATAACGTAAAAAAAAACCTAATGTAAACTGAACGCGAATTTATATGGTCTTATAGAGGAACGAGGCTCCATTTTTAGAGCAGAGATTTCATTAGTCTTTCCTGATTATTCTATAGTCCTTGAACGACTTGACCTACCAGCACCACTTTGTCCAAAGACGAAATTGTCAGGTCTGAAAATTTTGCCGATTGGTCCACTGCGAATAGAATCCATGGTGCCTGGTTCGAGATCAACCAAAACTGCTCGTGGAACAAACTTATGGCCTATTAAAAGAATTCAAATATATCATTAAAATTGTCGGTAACCGTAACCAGAAGGTTTTATCATTGACAAGATTACGTACTGCTGGCTTCATTGTAATAGACATTTATTCTCTCGAGTTGCAAATCGTTAGTCCCAACATAATTTCCAGTCGGATCGATTCCATGTTCGTCGGATATAATTTCCCAGAACTGAAAACAAAATACTTTGCTACATACTTCACACGGCCGATTGAATAAATGAAAATCAAACGGATATGACTGCGAATCTCACATTTTTGGTTGGCTGTCAAAGGGGAAGGATAAACTAAGTGAATTGAATCAGCAGAATATTTGATGTGAGAGTTAATAGACCTTTTATAATTTTTTTCCTTCGACAGTATCGGATATTTGCGATTTTGCGTCAGCTTCCTGAAAGAGCTCGCTAGAAATGTTTCAACGGCAATAGATTACTTGCTTCATACCTATTGTTTATTTATCAATTGTTTAGTATACATATACTGATAAGTAACATGAAAAAATAACAGGAAAGTCTACTGAACAATCTTGAGCTATCAGAATTCTGTACTCGCAAATCGTCACTAAGAAAGATGCATCGGCCAAATGGATTCCTTGCGCCGAGGGAACACGCATACTTGCAAGTCATGAAAATGGCAATGAAGCAAAATCGACTACTCGCTCTGCCGCCTAAATATTGTATGGGATTTAAGGTACTTTTGTAATGCGACTTGAGTACGCAGATAAAATTAAAGGTTAATGCAAATATATATTATTGCAGAAAAAAATAATTACGATGATAATGATGGGCATTGCTTTTACTCTGCCCCCAATAATATGTCTCGTTAAAATCAGCAGAATTCCCATGAGAGGGATGCCTTCGGAATAGAAGCTATTTTCATCAGGAATGGTTGTTCAAGAGCAAGCAAAAATTGTTTCTACAAAATAAAGTAACACACGTACACGTCGGGGAATTTATAAAAGGAATAAAAGGTGCTCTACCAGTTTGCAACGGCCGTCTTTATATGGCCGACCCAGAATCCTTTAAAGGTGCACACGATGCACGCAAGCTGCATAAATTAGAATGTCTCGTAAAACCTGAGAAGATGGCAATGCCTCTTTCTACTTGACTTTCGTTCTCATCACTCCATTTGTATGATTGCAAAAGAATGTGAAGCAGAGTGGAAAGAACGAGAAAGCTTCCGATTTGAAACTTGGACTGCAATGCGCAAAAATAAATGGTGAGAGTCTTATTTCTCTTGTGCTTCTAAATCAAAATGACGTTGCCGGCATACTAAGAGTTTACTCTTTGCTCTTGACTCTGCGTTTCCTCTTCTACCTATTCTACACTCGTATTAATAGATTCACGATTCGCGGTTATTTAAAGACGCAATCCCAACGCTTGGTCGTGGGCTCAAACCTGCTGAGATTCTCTTGAAACATTCCATTTTTCCTATTCCATATAAGTAGCTACACTTTTTTTGCATTCTGATTGCATATTTTGCTAACATTCTTGGCAATAAGTGTGTTGCTATGGAAAATATACTCTGATAAATCTTACGAGTCACATCTTGATTTTAAAATTGTTACTACCACGTGTGCAGAACCGACCGTTGCACGATGTAAATGGCCGTTAGAATACTTCATAATGAAATGTAGTTAAGTGGAATAAATACTGACCTTAGAGCCGATCTGGTTGCCACACTGGCCGGCCTGTAAGTGTACGATTTCCCTCATATCTTTTATTTCTAGTTTTTTCACTAATTAGATGCCTTCTACGAGGTGGAAGAATACAATTGGAAGAACTTTACGTAGGGAGAGAAAATCTCACGTTGGAGCAGCTCAGTGATATGACCTCTAAGGAGCGCAGAATCACCAGTGACGAGGCTGAGATAGACTGTGCCTGCATGAGTTGAGTGCCGTTAAGTGCCCCCTGCACGAGCATTCTCATTGGAACAGAGAGAACCACGAGGTCTGCGTACCACTACTGCCAACCATACTCTAGATTTATTTCTCGCTTATTCCGACATAGAGTGGCTGCTTCGAACATTCAATGCAATAACTATTTTTACGCGTTGCACTTACGCTGTACTGCGGACTAAATAATATTTTTCATTCTTAGGTGGAGAACAGAACTGCGAGATTGTTAGTAATTTGTCCAAAAATTTATTGCATTAATGTTTTTTTTTAAATTTAACTAATTTTGCAGATATATTCTTTATAATATTTACAATTTCATACATATGTAATAGAACGTGCTTAGCATTCTCAGAAGAGATGTTGCAGTACAATAATGCTTAATTCAGTTGTGATTCCATCCAGGTATTGGTATTCCTGGTATCCAGCTCTTTCCCGTTACTGAAACAACACGATGATAATAACATCAACTCATTACTCATAGTCGAAGTTAATTATTAATTAGTTCTTGACAATATACCTCCAGCAACGACATTTAATTTCTGTGTTTCCTCGGGACTGAGCTTTAAAATTGTGTTTAATACTGGAATAAGGTGGCTACGCTCGTCCCCGTTTTTTAGCGTGACAAACTGAAAGAGGAAATTCAAATATGAAACTGCAAGTTTGAAAAGAATGAGTCATTCTATCAATTTACTTTGAACTTACCTTGAAAACAACATTTTTGAGATATTCGAAGTTATTTGCATGCTGCTCTCGCTCTACACTGCGTTGCTGTCTTCTTATCTCTTCTTTAAGAAGTTGATTGAGTTGTGTCAACTTAGCAATATCCTTTTCAGCGTCCGAGAGTAACGCCGTCAAATGTTTGACGCGTCTCTCGTAGATTTCAAGTTCCTGCCGGTTCGGAAAAGACGAATTTTGACTTGTTGTAAAATCATCCGGAGAGTTCAAGAGTTCATCGAGAGGCATCAGAGCGGGCTTCCGCAGTTTCTCTATATTAGGTGCAACAGATGGATAGGAGTCCACGCTCTCTGATCCCTGAAGGAAGAGTGAATAGCAGCTAGTTATTGTCCAATTTGGTAACAAATAAAAATATTGTAGGATATAATTAATGTTCAAATAAAGGTTACCTCTCCATCTTCTCTTTCTAAAATTGACATTCCAGAAAAGCGGGGATGGTTTTCGGTATCGGCCACCGAATCTTCCTGCTTTTCTGGATATATATTCGTAACGTTGTCGTTTGATCCACATTTATATTTTTGAACCTCCATCTGTAAGTTTTGAATTTCTATCTGGTATTTTTCCTTGATGGTGGATAAATTATTCTGAAACAGTTTAATAACTACTGAGATAATACCATAACGCGTCTAATAGCGATCTAAGAAATACACATACCTTCTGAGTTTGTTGAAGTACTTCAATTTGCTTGGAATGTTCAATCTGCATTTCTTGAAATTTTAAAGATTCCGAACGCCGCTGCTCCATCAATGAAGAAAATTCTTGGCGATGTATATTCATTTTTTCAATGGTTTCATTAAGAGTTGCGTATGCCTGGTCTCGTTCTTCCTTGAGTACACTGATTTCTCTTGTCGAATATTCTAAGCGTTGTCTGAGATTCAGAAATTTAAGGAAATTTCTTATGGGGTTCCATAAACAAATGTTCATTTAAGGTTTCTAATGTACCAACGTGTAATTCTCTAATTTGTCTCGAAGTAAAGCGGCATGAGTTCGTGTATGTTCCAATTCTTCCTCGATTTCATTTAAGCTTCTCCCACCAGATCCAGTTTCCTTATTGTGGCTCTGTTTATTTCTAAGTACACTTTGGGCTCGTAATTTATATCCAGTGAATTCTGCCTGTAGAGCCTCCATCTCGTTGTGACTATTGGTCAATGCTATATTCAGGTTGACTATTTCATTTTCAAGTTGCATTACCTTAAAAGAAGAGTCTCACAAGCTTAATATCAAATAATTATTTGTTATCACTCATTAGTTACCTTTTTATTGTGAGCTTCATCAAGATATTTCAATTCTTGCAAGAGTCTACAGTTTTCAGTAGATAAGGTTTCAATCTGTTCATTAAGTGTATTTGTGTTTGCCTTGAAATCTCTCAGTTCATCAATAAGCTTATCCATCTTTTTTTTGTGTTCTGTAGCCTTGCGCTTCACTTCGCAAAGTTCCTGTTTTATATGTTCATTCTTTTCCCCAAGAATAGTTATTTGATTCGTTTTTGTCAAGCAAGTATCCCGTAATTCAACTATTTGCTCACTTAAGTTATCAATGGTCATTAAATGCTTTTCTATTGTATCTTTAAAAGAATCATTTTTCATAGCCTCTTCATTGAGTTTTGTTTGCAGGTCTCTTATGCTTTTCTAGAATACAATGATGAATTGGTTAAAAAAAAATTACTTAGTAAATTAATAGGACCTACCTCATAATTTTCTACTTCCAAGGAAAGTACATTGTTCATTGCGTATTCTTGTTTGAAAGATTCTAATTGGGCTTGAATTGTCTTGCGTGTATCTATTTCTAAATTTAAAGTACTCTTCATTTCCTCATACTCTTTATCTTTTTGCTCTCTTATTACCAACTCTGTTTTTATTTCATCCATTAAAACATTAATTTTATCTTGATTTTGTTTCAAAATCAACTGTAATTTTGCATTTTCTTTTGATAGATATTCATTTTTGTTGGACAATCTTGTAATATTTTCTTTTTTTTCATACAATGACTCTTTAAGAGATGTATTTTCAGAAATAAGACTTTCCAAATTCTTTTCCAGTTTCTTATTTTCACATTTTTCTTGTTCCAGATCATCTTGTAGTTTGTCATACTCAGAGTGAATTGTCTATAATAGAAATACAAAAATATTTATAAGTTAGTAAAATATATCCATCTTCGCTAATTTCCTCTTTAACTTTTTATCAACCATGATGCCATCTGAGGCACACTCACTTAGAGCATGTTAGTCCATCGTATCATAGTTAAAAGATTAGTACCTGTAACTTTCTTGCATTTTCTGATATTTGCATGAGTTTATTTTGCAAGTCTTCCTTATCAGCACTGATCTTAATTTTCTCAGTTTCCGAGACTCTCAGCTGCTCAGATAGATCATGTAACTTTTTCTTCAATTTAACTGCAAAGCCGCGAAGCTGTAAATGAATAATAAATAAAATATCGCCAGCAATTCAACCATTATACTTAATATAGTGGCTTACTTCGTTATATTATGTTTTCTAATATTAAAGTTTCTATTATAAGTAATATACTCTAATAGATTACATTCAGCATATGATAAATTTTACGTTTAATTAAGAATAAAATAAAAAAGTTAATGCCTTGTAATATTTATCCTCAATTGACTCTTTTTCTTCGCTCTTCGTAAAGCTGTCATCATTATCTGCAGTCGACTCGTTCATCTGAATAAATCAGAAATTGATCACAATATTTTGCTTCAATTGATACAAGGAACAGTACAGGGATAAATTTCCAAATAACCAACAATGAAAGAACTAGCAGAGATGAGTAGGGAGATGCACAACGCTACGGTTTTAGGCGAACCCAAAAGTGGAGATTCGTTCCTTCCTTTCCTTATGGCTGTATCCCCAATGGGGGACATGTGCTACCAAAAGCAGAGATGAGTAGGGAGATGCACAACGCTAAGATTTTAGTCGATCACAATAATAACATGGCGCTAAATCGTAGCGGTGAGTCTAGAAGTAGGTTATTGTGATCATCGCCTCCATCGACAATGCGTATCCCGTCGTAGCCGAGTTAAACGTGAACACGAACGTCTAGCTTGGTCGGTAGAGGTTCTCCGCTACCACGCCGCTGGTTCCAAAAGCAACCCTTAAAACGAGACCGAGAAATATAGAACTTCTCAAGAACTATTGAAAAAGCTTATTCTTGAAACCTATATTTATGAGGGCATAAAGCCAAAAAAAATAAGAAGAAGAAAGAGAGAAGAAGAAAAAAGTTAATTGCACAGAAATATTGAAAATTCGAAAAATTGAATAAAGCTTTCCAAATACTACTAAATATTATTGGATCTTGATTTACTTTCAAAATTTATTCAAAATATAAAATTGAGGCTAAATCAAAATCTCGCTGAATATACGGAGTAGATAAAAATTGAAATTGTAGACTATCGAAAATAAATATGTTCAAATTGAAATATTAATAAATTAGGTGTTTGAAATTTAAAATAATTAATTAAATTAATGGAGTTAAATGTTAATACTTGAAAATCAGAAATCTTGGCCAAGAATATTTAGAAGTACTGAAAGTTGCGCGTAAATCCGTTGCGCAGACTAAGGGAGTGGGAGGAGGCACGGAGTGGGGGCAGCGCCCGGACCCGACCGCTCATTCTTCCTCGAGCCGGTCTCCT